AGTCACTTCTTAAATTTTTAGTGTATTTTTTTCAGTGAAGAGATGTCTTCCTTTTACTCTTACACCCTCTGCTGCACAGTGAAAAAAATATTTGTCTTTTAAAAAGTCATGTTTTAATGGACAGTTGTTCAAATAGGCCAGTTTATGCTTCACAATGAGAATGTTATTATCATTAACATCTGGCTGTGTTTAAGCGCTAGATTGATTTTGGAGAAAAATGAAGATGACCTGAAGAAGATTGAAGTTTTCTTTTCTCTTATTCCCTTCCCTCCCCTCTTTGTGTGTGTGTGTGTGTATGTGTGTGTGTGTGTGTGTCTGTGTCTTTGTAGGACCTAAGGCCTTTGCTTTGAGCTACATATCAAGGCCTTTTTTATTTTAAGACATGCTCAAAAGTTGCCCAGGGTGGGCTGGAACTTGGGAATTACTGCCTCAACTTCCACAGTGCTGTGATTACAGGTGTGTGCCACCACACCTGGCTCCAATATCCTTCTGAATGTCCAGACTTACTAATGTTATAAAGATGTAACATTTTCCCCCATAGAGTGCTATATTCACAGTCCACTTAATAAGGCTATTAAAATTAATGCCACAAAATAATATATTTTATTATGTTTATGGTTGCAGTAATGTGTTTGAAATTAACCATGAACCAACGATAATCTTCAAAGAAACAAATTTTTTTGCCACAGGTAGAGAATTATAATTGTAGAATAAGTAGGAACTTGCATAGCATAATTGCAAGTCCAAAATAGTCAGCTAGACTACTGTTAGGTAGGGTCTACACTAAAGAATAATTTTTTGTTATTGTTTTGTGTTTTGTTCCGTTTTATTTTGTTTGACATAGAGTCCCGCTATGTAACCCAGGCTAGCCTTGAACTTACAGTGATCCTCCTGCTTCAGCCTCCCAAGTGCTAGGATTACAGGCATATGCCACCATGTCTGGCTTCATAAAGAATAATCTTTACTATTGCTATATATACATTTTCAGGTCTGAGAAACAATAAAACAGAATCTGAATACGGTTAACTGTGTTTAATGTTCAGGTGTCACGACAGTTTGTCCATTTTATTGTGTTGGAGGTATTTCAGTTTTTTGTAAATCATCCTATAATCTAACCCAGTTGGCTATTTAAACATGACATTTTTTAGTTGTTCCTCTAGTAATCTAAGACATTTTTTTTTGTCTTTTTTGAGACAGGGTCTCATTATGCAGTTCAAGCTGGCCTTGAGCTCACTTTGTAGCCCAGGCTGGTCTCGAACTCGCAACAATCCTCCTGCCTCAGCCTCCCAAGTGCTGGGATTATAGGTGTGCGCCACCATGCTTGGCTAATTCTGTTTAAGTGCTACTGTTTCTTGTCTTCTTTGGAAGGCAGGAATGGGGGATGATACGTAAAGGATTTTGTTTTATAAATTGGATTTCCAGGAGTTTTCAATGGGCATCTGGTTCTCTTAGGAGTAGTGAAGGTGTCAGTAACATTTATTACATGCCATTGTAGAGCACTATACTACAACTAGATGATTGTCCCTCTAAAAAGGGAACATGCTGGATTTTTCTGGAACAAGAGTATGATTATACTATATGTCCGTTTTATAAACTGCCTGGTAGGGGATGTTGTAGTATAATAAGACTATGGGCTTTGGAGTTACAAAAATTGGGATTCAAGTTTAACCACTACAGATTTGATGTAGAACTTTGTAAAAGGACTTGAAAGCCAGACGTGATTGGCACATGCCTGTAATTCCCGCACTGTGGGAGGCTGAGGTGGAGGACTGCAAGTTTGACTCCGCTTGGGCAATGTAGTGAGACACAGTCTCAAAATAAAAAGGGTTGCGGGTGTATGTAGTCTATGCGAAGGCCTGGGGTTCAACCCCCTGTTACTGTTGGGGATAAAGTACTTCAAAATAACAAAGCCTTAGTTTATGATTTTTTTAAAAAATAGTAAAGATGATGACAACTTCTTAAGGTTTTCATGAGCGCCAAGTCAACTGAGTAAGTAAATATAAAGCATCTGTTACAGAGCCTAAATAGCAAATGCACAAGAAATGGTAGCAAAGCAAAATTTATTCCTTCTTTCATAGCTGTTTAAGTCAGTCTTTTGTATTTGCTATTATATTTATTGGCCACTTATAGTTTTACTTTTATAAAGAAAATAGAAGTATCAGGATTTTTAAAGTTTGTAATGGGCACTTTCAGCTTTAAAGTATACTATGCATAAACGAATCCTCACTCGATTAAAGTGATTTTGATAAAAGGATTGTGTTAGTGAATGTTGCATTGTTACCAGGCAATGTACTGGCGCAGTTTAGTACAGGACCTAATTTTGTATGAATTCACTTTAGTTACTTCATCCATATACAGTGACAAAGTTAAGATGGTTTCGGTGGGTGTGGTGGCATACGCCTGTAACCCTAGCACTCGGGAGGCTGAGGCAGGAGGATCCTTGTGAGTTTGAGACCAGCCTGGCTACAAAGTGAGCTCAAGGCCAGCCTGAACTGCATAGCGAGACCCTGTCTCAAAAAGACCAAAAAAAAAAAAAAAAAAAATTAAGGTGATTTCATTTCATTAACAGGGGAAGTGTTTGTTTGCCAGTGGCAGTCCATTTGGGCCAGTGAAACTCCAAGATGGGCGAGTCTTCACACCAGGTCAAGGAAACAATGTATATATTTTTCCAGGTAACGGTCACCATACTTACGTTATAGAGCAATAGTGAGTTACATAAAAATATTTCATGGAATTCTTTGGAAGCTGAGGTTAAAATGAGCCAACAGTATTTACAGAATTTTGGTATGAATGTACTGGACAACTCAAGAAATTCAGCAAATACAACTTGCTCTATTTTCCCTGAAAGTTTATTTATTCATGCCACTAATTAAACTTTTTATTATAGAAATATAGTACACAATTCATAAAAATGAGAAAGAGAAAAATGGTAAACTGCTTAGTTCTCTGTACCTCTCTTTGATACCACCTTAGGGCACTTCCCAGATATAACCATATGAGTGGTTTGCTCTCCCTCAGGTGGTTACCATCATGCCCAGTGTGTTCTTTTATTGTGATTCTCCTAGCTCAGCCATAGATACGAACTTCCCGCTGTGAAATGTAAGTCATTATGCACACATGCCTTCTGATGCTTTCTCCCTCTCCCGCTCGGTTTGCCCTACTACTTTCAGTTCTCGTTAGTGCTGTGGTTTATATAGCATAAAGAGCTTTTATCAGCATTTTTCAAGTTTTTATTAACTTGCCAAAGGAAAAATGAAAAGAACGTCAGGCTTAGCTTTTTGTCTTACTCTACCTTTCAGTTTTGGTTTGTTAATAATTTCTACCTTGAAGAGAATTTTTTGACATTTACATTGTGGTCCAATGTTTTCCAGGCTTTGTGTGGGAATTAGTTCTGAATGTTCAAAACCATTATAAAACTCATGATTACGTAAATGTTATTCAACTAGAACGTGATTTGATAAACTAGATTTTGCAGTTCTGTGTCACTGAATTTTTGACACAACGTAAAATCTTTCAGGTATCGTGAATGCCCTTTCAGTTTCTAGAACGCCAGCATTCTCCATTTCTTTTGGTTTCACACTGCAGCAAACCGTGTCCCATCTTCTCTGTAAAAGTGCACTGTACTGCTGTCTTTTGTTTCTGGAATGTATCTTTGAATAAGTTGGGTTTGTTAGTGGTAGTTTTTGTTTTGTTTGTTTGTTTTTGCCCTAAAGAATGTATGAAAACTTCCCGAGGTTTTACAAACCTGAAAATGTCTTGATTTTATCCTCTCATTTGATAGTTTGGCTAGGTAAAGGTTTTTAAAGTCAAACTCATTATCCTCAGATCTCTGAGGACTTCTTTTTCAGTTAAGGTTATTTTTGCAGGTGAGAAATACAGTCATCAAGATTCCTTCCTTTACATACTAGTTATTTTCTGTTTTTGATATTCATCTTTCCCCTAGATTTCTGAAAGATTAAAAAGATGCACCTGTTTGTTTCCATTTATCATGCATGCCTGTGAATGAGCCATTTCACTATTTAAAAAGTCTTTTCAATTTTTAAAAATCCTTCTGATGTCTTTGAAATTTTATTGACATTGATCTTTTTTATTCTGCAAAATGGGAAGGTTCTGTGGTATTTCTTTAATCGACTGTATATGTTCTGTTTTTTGGCATTTACAGTGGTTCCCCCCTCACCACTTGTTTTGTTTTGGTTTTGGTTTTTTGAGACAGAGTCTCATTATGTAGTTCAGACTGGGGTTGAACTCACTCTGTAGTTACAGCTAGGCTGGCTGTAACCTCACTGCAGTCCTCCTGCCTCAGCCTCCTAAATGCTAGGATTATAGGTGTCTGCTACCATATCCAGCTTGCACTGTATGGTTTGTCTCTCAAGTCTTTTTAAAGCAAATCAGTGACATCTTATAATTCCATTCATAACTGCTTCACTATGTATCTGAGATATTGTTTGTTTGTTTGTTTAGTAGTAATGGGGATTGAACCTAAGACCTTCCCTAGCTCTTTTGAAATTTTTTTGAGACAATCTCATTAAGTGGCCCAGGCTGGACTCAAAACTTGCCATCCTGTCTCAGCCTCCTGAACTGCTGGGATTGCAGGCATGTGCCACCCCACCTGACTTCTGATTTTTAAAAATAGAACCATAGTACTGTAATCACACCAAAAGACATTAACAAAAGAGATTCCATAAAAGTATAATATCAGCTTAGTCCATTCAGTAGTTTATTTTTTTATTTACAATGTCTTTTTCTTCTTCTAGAATTCTTTTTAATAACTGCTCCTTGAAGCTATTTGCTTCCTTAGTGTGGTTTGTTTGTTTGTTTTACAAATTTCGAGTGATCTTCCATTGTCCATTTATTTTAAAGAAAGGCTATATTGAGTAAAATAGGGATTTGGCATGAATTCCTTTATAATCATGTCTTCCTTTTGTTTTTTCATTTTTTTCCGGTACTGGGAATCAAACTCACGACCTTGCACTTGCCAGACAGGCGCTGTGCCACTGAGCTAAATCTCCAGCCCCTCTTTATGGGTCTTTCCCTGAATAGCTAGCAGTAGGCTGTAATTAAGATGTGCCCATTAGATGCATAGCATAAATAGGTCAACATCAGGAAAGCGTGTTACTCCTGTTGTCAAATTAAAGAAGGTATTAATTTGACAGCTATTAATTAAACCCCCATGTAGTAGTGTTTGTCTCTCGAGTCTTAACATTTATAATAGAAACTCACCCATCACTGATGATTTCTTTGTAGAACTTGACAGTGTTCAAATTCAACCTCTTCTATTGAGTAGTGTTTCTGTGGTGTAAAGTCATGAGGGAATGGGAGAAAAGACTTCTTTTTTGATGCTCATAAAGCCATTTTAAAAGTCATATTTGACTATTAAAGAATTTAACAGTTGATTACTTTTGCACAGCATTTTAAAGTCACAGTTTTATTAATAAAAATTAGCACTTTAAATATCAACATGAAAAATGATCAACATGAAAATTGAAGGTAAAAATCAGCCTACAATCAGGAGGATTGGACGTACATAAAGCAGTTAAAAACTTCACACCCTGGCATATTGGAATTACCAGTCCAGCTACTATAATAAATATATGGAGGAAATGGGGATTTAGCTCAATGGCACAGCGCCTGCCTGGCAAGCGCGAGGTCGTAAGTTCGATTCCCGGTACTGGAAAAAAACCAAAAGAAAACAAACAAACAAACAAAAAATGGATGGAATTTTAAAATAAAAAGACAACCTTTAAAACATCAGAAGGCTAAAAATACTACAAAATTCTGGATCCAGGCTGGGAAGAGAACTGGAGCTCAGAGAGTGGAGCCAGGATTTAAAAAGGAATCTAGTAACTCCTATCTTGGCCTGAAACCCTGAAGGGCTGCACTGGAATGGAGGTATGGTTTATAGCAGCACTAGATGATCTTGAAAACCTTAAGCTTTTGTTCTGGCCTGCCAGTGCCTGGCAGAGGCAAACAAAAATCGTCTCTGAAATAACACCGTCCTAGTCCTCAAGTTACTATTATAAAGAAACTTGCACAAACAACCCATGTTTAACAAATAATAATAATAGAAAATAAGAGAAGTCAGGTGTAGTGGCACACAGCTGTAATCTCAGCTACTTGAGAGGCTGAGGCAGGAAGATGGTAACTTTGATGTCAACCCTGGGCAACTTAGCAAGACCCTGTCTCAAAATAAAGAGAGCTGGAGATAGAGCCCAACTCTTCCTGGATTCAGTCCTTAGTACTACAACAACAACAATAATAATAATGTGACAACACAAGCCAAAGTCAGCAGAAACTGCCAAAAAAGACATGCTAAAACTATGTGTAAGATAAGTACTACTATATAAACATGCTTGCTATACTTACAAAGATAAAAGCCAATCTTCAGCCAAAAATCAGTAAATTCTAGAATTGTAAAATCTAAATTAAGGTAATCTAAATCAAGAATAGACGAGATGAGTCTTGTAGCAAATTAGGCTGAATCATCTGGAAGATATTTCAGAAGAAATAATACAGAATGAAGCATAGAGACAGAGAGACAAATACAGAAAAACAGGTAAGAGATGTGTCTTTAATTGATACATTTTTAATTGAAGCTCTAGTAGAAAATGAGAGTAGGAATAAAGCAGAGGCAACATTTGCAGGGTTTATGAGTGATAATTTCTTAGACATGGTAAATGACAGCCAGTATTCAAGGAGCTCACTGAAAAGAAAGCATACCTAGGAACCTCATTGTAAGGCTTCAGACAGTGACAAGAAAGAGGAAAAAACGAATGCAGCCAGAGCAAAAATACCTCTTTCAAAGGAGCAACTGTCAGACTGACATCTAACTCCACAATAGTAGGTGCCAAAAGATAGCAAGATGATCTCTTTATGCTTCACATCACTTACAGAAAATACTCACTATCCAGAATTCCTAACAGTGAAAATACCTTTCACGAATTAAGGCAAAATGAACACTTCTTCAAAAAAAAGAATTTTCTACCTCCAGATTCTTACGAGAGGAAAGGAGATCTTGTTCTTTAGGCAGGAGGAAAATATTCCCAGATAAGAACTCAGGGATGTAGGAAGGAATGAAGAGTAAAACAAGTTGGGATTATGTGAATAAAACAAAAGGATTTTTTTTTTTTTTTTTTTGGTCTTTTGAGACAGGGTCTTGTTATGCAGTTCAGGCCAGCTGTGAGCTCACTTTGTAGCCCAGGTTGGTCTTGAACTTGGAGTGATCCTCCTGCCTCAGCCTCCCAAGTGCTGGGATTACAGGCGTGCGCCTCCACACCTTGCTGTCCCGAATGTTGTTTATTGAGAGCCAGATAATGTTTTTTAAAAAATATAGAGATAAAATGCACAACAATGCTTTTAGCTAGATAGAATTAAACTAATCTTAAAGACTTGTATTTCTACTAGGAAGATAAATTAAAAATTAATGTGGAACTTTGATAAGCAAAGAATACATGCTATAAATTTCAGGATTAATACTAGAAAAACTTTCAGTTCCTGAAGTGAATGTTAGGGGATAAAATGAAATTATTAAAAACTAAAAATGCAAGAAAGGAAGAAAAGGGAACATAAAATAAGCCAAAGATAGTGGATTTAGTCCCAAATATATAAGTATATACATTAAATGTAAATGGGCCAATGCTGTTGTACTACTTAAAATGTATAATAAAGACATATATAGACATATAAGTCTGGATATAAATGAACGATGGGGAGAGGGAAGGGCTGGCTAGATTCAAGTAATCCTGTTCTAATCCCTGGGCAGGCAGGTGACAACTCTTCCCATCTTTGGCCAATGACGGTAGGAGACTCTATGACTAGATAGAAAATGTCTAGACAGTGAGATACCAGGAACAGCTTTGAGAACAGAGGTGCCAGAAACAGAAAGGTGGAAAGAAAGCCAGGTCATTCTATGATGATGCTTAGAGTAGGTGAGCCCTTGGCTCATAACTACCACCCTTTCTAAATTTTTATTAATTTATGTGTGCTTCTTAACCCTTAAATATGAGAAATGCTTGCTGGGCATGGTGCACATCTGTAATTCCAGCACTTCGGGGGCTAAGGCAGGAGGATCCCTGCAAGTTGGAGGCTATCCTAGGCTACATAGTGAGTTTTCAAGGACAGCCTGAACTACCTTGTCTCAGAAAAAAAGCTCAGGTTACTAGTCATCTAAGGAAAGTCTCTTATAAGAAAGATTGATCATAAAAGAAACCAAAGGTAATCAGTATTGTCACTGAGACACAATACTATTACATTCTAAAATAGGGCAAAAGTTTAACTTTTTAAAAAAATTGACAATAAAACAAGCTCTTAAAATGAAAAGTTTAAAAAATAAAGTGTTTTTTTTTTTTTTTGGTCTTTTTTGCTGGGCAGTTCAGACTGACCTTGAGCTCACTTTGTAGCCTGGACTGGTCTCGAAAAAAATAAAGTTTTATAGCAGAAAGATCAGAAGAAAGTTCCTCTGATCTCACCTCCTCACATCACACCCATTGTGAACCCATGGTAGGCTAATCCAGGTACCCAGGATGCAGTCACTCCCAAATGCCCCACCTACGAGTGTGTGACACTTGGGAGGAACATCTAGATATAAACCATAACAATCCCATGCTGTTAACAGGATTTCCAGGATGGGAGCTCCATGTTTGGAATGAAAAAGAAATCTGACCAGACAGTAGCTTCAGCAGAGGTTTACACTAGAGGATGAAATGAGAGAATACATGAGGTACCAGAATGGAAGAAGATTTAGACAGTGAGGGAGTCTTCTAGGATAAGTAATGTTAAGTACTGAAAAAATCAAAGTAAAGGGAAAACAGGATAATAAAACAGAGAAAACAAAAATTATATAGAAAAAGTAATTACATTATAGTGTTAATACATGGCTCGGTTATGAATAGTGCTTGTGAAGTCATAAGCACTGAATGTTGATTGAACCAAAATTATGCTCTCACTGTACTGTATTGGGAAGGACAGAGAGAGCTAAGTACATATTTCCCACAAGAAGGAATCAATGAGTGCTAAAACTCAAAAATTAGAAGAAATATAACCAAGTGAAGTGTGACAAATACTAAATAACCAGCTAAAATAATTGAAAGTAGTGGGCTCTTCTGAGCAAAAAGTGGAGGGTTAGAGGTGGGCTGGCAACTGATGTGTTTTGTGACAAGGGTTGATAAATTGTGCTCACTTGTACTTTTGATAAATGTACAAGCCTAATTGAGAAAAGGCACTTATTTCTAAAATTGTTTCCTTTAGTGAATAAGTTAATAAGGATTATTTGATTTACTCAATTTTTGCTTTCTTTTAGGAGGCTGTTTGGAATAGGGGTTGATTATCGTTTATTAGCCTCAGTATAGGAATTTAGTGCCTTTCATAATTTCAAAAGTAATCTTAGTAAACTATTTAAAATGTATTCTAGGTGTGGCTTTAGCTGTTATTCTCTGTCACACCCGACATATCAGTGACAATGTTTTCCTTGAAGCTGCAAAGGTAAATGTTTTAAATATTGTTTATTTTATACAGATGGATAGATTTTAAAAGCAGAGAGAATGGGTTAAATCTGTCTTATTAATGAAAGGAAGTTACCCATGCAGTACTTTTTGATTTGTCTACCTTTTGTATTATATTAATTTTTAAAGTCATAACTTTTTAAGTATTTGATTATAAGCTATGAATCCTTCATATTTATAACATTTAAACTGTATTTTATTTATGTGTGTATATATGTGTGTGTATGTATATATGAAGGTAGCATGTGACAACTTAGATAAAACATAACTCCTTCCATATTTTTAATGAACAAGTACTGGTACTATTTGGTGTGCTGGCCTGCTGGAGATGCAGACTTTGCAGTAGGAGTTCTTCTGAAGAACTAACATTAATAAAAATACTGGTGTTTATTTTCCTAGTAGCTATGTAATTATGCCAAGCTTTGTATGTATTAAATAGAATATTTCAATAAGTTCTTAAGCCTGGGGATTTCTTTGTTGCTTAGTGATGAATAGTTTTAATTTCTACAATTGTTCAATGTGTTCCTGTAAGAAGTAAGAATTTGGTTACCTATATTTTTCAGTTGTTTTTTTTTTTTTCTTTTTTTTTCTAATGTTTTTTCCATTTCACTAACTCCTTCTGTGATTTAAACAAGCAGGTAAAATGTTGGTTTTCTTTTCAGGCACTGACAAGTCAGTTGACAGATGAAGAGTTAGCCCAAGGGAGACTTTACCCACCACTTGCGAATATTCAGGAAGTTTCAATTAACATTGCTATTAAAGTGAGTAATTTATACTCTTCACATAAATTATAATGACATTTTATTATACAAATAATACAAGTTCATTGGCGATAAACTTGAAACATTTACAAGTGTACAGAAATATTTTAGGTCACCCGTATTCTTATTACTAGAATATAATACACATTATCATCTTGGTTTTTTTGCTATCTTGTCTTTTTTTCTTTGAAAATACATAATATGCATATACACATGCATGTAGTCACTTGTGTCTATTTTTATAATTGGTTTCTTACTACACTTTTCCACTTAATATATTATAAATCTATTCCATGTAAGTCAGTAATTCTCTGAAAGAGTTAAAGACATATTATATGCATACTCATGTTTATAGCAGCACAATTCATTATAACTAAGTCTATATGTCCATCAGTACATGAATGGGTAAAGGAAAGTGTGGTATTTTTATACACTGGAGTACTGCTCTGCCATAAAGAAGGATAAATTTGAGTCATCTGCAGGAAAATGGGTGGACCTTGAGACCATGATGTTGACTGAATTAATCAGACACACGAGATTAAGTATTGCATGATTTCTCTTAAAGGAGAAACCCAAAGTGCAAATAATTAAAGAGCAAAATAAAAGATGGATGAGAGGAAGTAGTGGATCTTTTGCAAAAGGGAAGGAGACTAAGATTGGAGGGAGTGTGGTGGGAGGTGAGGGACAGAGAATGAAAAAAAGAATTACACTGTTACGTGCTTGTACCCATTCCCACAACAAATGCAATCACTGTGTACTGCACACATGTACTAATGAAAATGTAAGAAGTCAGTAACATCTCCAAAATGAGAAGTTTTTATTCTCATGTGTGGCTATTAATAGTGGATAATACTCTGTTATATCATAATTTAATAATTTTTGAACATCTAAGTGTCTTTCTTTAGTTTCTCATTGTTACACATGTTATAATAACATCCTCTGTACAGATAAATATGTACGTTTGTGATGATTTGCTTTTTGTTGTTGTTGGTTGCTTACTTGTTTTGAGACAGTCTCACTATAGAGTCCTGCCTGGTCTTGCACACAAAATATTCCTGCCTCAGCATGGTGGTGCATGCCTGGAATCCCAGCACTTGGGAGGCTGAGGCAGGAAGATCATGTTCCAAGGCCAGCCTGGGCTACATAGTGAGTCCCTGTCTCAAAAAGCCAAAAAACAACCTCCTGCCTCAGCCTTCTAATATATTTTGTTATTTTCCTCATGTGACTATGTCATTTGTCACTCTGTTCCTAAATATTTTTAAATTTTTGTTATCCTGTATAATGAAGTTTTCTTCTTCCCATATTTTCTCACTGGCCTTGAACTCATTACATAACCGAGGCTGGCCTTGAACTCACAGTGATTCTCCTGCCTCTTCTCCCAAGTGCTGGGATTACAGGCATGTGCCACTGTGCTCAGTGATTATTTCTAACATGAAAGTTATTCTTTTGAATTTACTTAGTAACCAGTTTCTTTACTGAACACACTTATCTTTTTTTTACCCTTAATTATCTTAATAGTTTTGAGTCATCTGCAGATTATCTTTAATATGTATAACTAATAAGATAGGCTTATATTCTAATTTATTAAGGTTTTCTTAAACAAGAGCTGGAATTTATTATGAACATTTTCAACTCCCATATAGAGTTAAGTTTTTAATGTTTTTTACATTATTTTGATGTTTGTGCTGTAAGCAAAGATTGGGAATAGGTAAAGGATAATATTTTTAGGGAATATCAGCCAGACCTGTTTGGGCTGGAGTGTACAGATCTGTTGGGTTCTTGCTGTACCCCGGGAAGGAACAGCAGTGAGAATGAGGAAAAAACAGACAAGAGACAAAAAGCTGGGATCAGGTGGGGGTCCTGTCCTCTCTCCTGAGTGGAGAACGGGAAATGCCCAAGAACAGTAGTTTATTTATACCCTTGAGAGGTTAGTTAATATGTGCCTTGCTGCCCAGCAATCAGTTAACAAGCTGCAACGGCTTGTTTACATTACGTGCATTAAGGAGCTCCCATGTTTTTGGGCTGGCATCATCCTGCATGTGTAATTACTTTCCAGCTTCAGCTGCTTCTAACATCGCTCTTCTCTGCTTTGTAAATGATGGGAGATTAGCTAGAAAGGCTATGCTTGGAGAACAGAGTCCTAACATCCCTAACAGTAGTCAGTTACCAGTCTAGCTGGCAATTGTCTGAAATTGTTGGTGATTTGAATCCTGTACAGCTAAATCTTACTATGACAATGTTTATTGTCTGGACGCAGTACCAGAGATTCTCTCCTTTGCCCTGGGTTCACACTGAGCTTGGAGGGCCAGGGCCAAAATATTGACTATTCTCTTAGCCCATTTATCTTTTTAATTTTTTGGTCTCCAAAGCTCAGTTGTTAAACATTCAGAAGAGAAGCTTAATGGCACTATAATAGAGGCAGTAAGCTTAATATTACTATCTGAATATCAAATACCTTAAAACATAAAATGGAAGTGTTATTTTCTTAACAACTATGGATGTCCTGTCATTTAAATCCCTATAGAATGTTAAGAGGTGTACATTGAAATTAGAAACCAAATCTATACATAACATTTCCGCACGACAATCTCAATGCTTTGTAACATACTTAAATTTTCATTTTGATAAGCTTTTACCTAATCTGGTATCCTTTAATGAGATATACATAAGTTTTTATTTTTTATTTATTTGGTTTTTTTTTTTTCCAGTACTGGGAATTGAACTCACGACCTTGTGCTTGCCAGGCAGGCACTGTGCCGCTGAGCTGAATCCTCAGCCCAACATAAGTTTTTAAAGGCAAAGGTCTGAATCTGAACAAAAAGTCTTATCATAAACAATCCTTGCTTTATGTTTTGAAGACCTGTACTTCCCAGAATCATGAGTACATTTCAGTACACCATGAGGTTTACAATAATGAATCACCGTACACATGTGAAAAACTGTTTCTTAATTTAGTTGCATACTAAGAGCATCTTTCTTGAGAATACCTTATTTTTTATTTTTCTGGAACACTTTTAACCATGACCAAATTATTGGAGGTGTATCCCAAGAGACTCTGAACATCCCTGTGGGCTCCTTATTAATGAATAAAGGTTGGCCACTCCTCTATTCACCAACTGGAGTCTTGCCCAATAATTTCTTTTTACCTTAAAAAATTGTGGCGAAATATCTTAATTTTTTGATCAGCTGTGAGAAAGCCAATTTTGATGTTATTTAAAACAGCTGGTAACTCAGGAGAAAGCATGCTTTTAAGCCTATAATCCAAATTGTATTAGTTCAGAGTGACAAACGTAACACAGAATGCAGAAAGATACATCTTATAGAGTCAGAGTGCACTCATATATATTCTAGATAAAATTATAGTAACTAATTTTTAGAAATTTATAATTATAAATAGGCTAGTCAGATTTTGTTCATCAGTTAACAGAGATCTATCTCTAGATCTCTCTAGAAAATTTTGGAAGGAATATAATCCTTAATCTATAATGAATATATAGATATTCTTTGTATTTTATTTTGTCTTAAGAATACTGGTAACTTCCAGCTCAATTGTCTCTATATACTCTTATCATTTATTCAAATCTTTAATTCCCATTTTGATTACTATTTCTTGGGCCTTGTGCATCAGTTTCTTTGGTTGGCCCCAGATCGGGTTTAGCCTTATCCTTATTTTTTGGCTGTAGTGGTCTCCGAGGCAGTCACTGTCACAGGACTGCACACCAGCTCCCTAAAAGGCAGAATCAGCTTCATCTCCAGAGTTGAGTTGATGATACAGCCTGACAGCATGCTCTGGTACCCAAATAGGTCGCTCAGTTTAGGGTAATTGCCACTTCTATCCAAAAGCAAGTTCTGTGTTGGTAATTTTTTGAGAATCTTCAAATTTCAAGAAACCATTCTCATCAAGACCTGTCCTATAAATAAGACATTGCTTCTATCATCAGAAAGATATTTTTGACTTAGGAGTACTGTGGTTTAAAAAAATTCTTTCATGGTCACCTCATAGCTTCTGTAATCCACTTTTATGTCATCTCTGTACGCATTTAGTTCCATATACTTGTGACTAAACACGGTAGCTAGTTTGCAATTTCTAGGATTGCAGGCCATATCGTCAGCAAGCATCAGGACAGTGTGGTTTCTTTCCATGATTTCCAAATACTGTCACAAACTAATCTCTGTTGTAATTTCCATTTTCTACACACTTTCAAAGAAATTATCAGGACATTTTTAGGATTCCTCTTAAAAGGATCAGTGCAATGTCTAGGAGTAGACATAAAAAGACTCGGGTTGTACTTGAAAGGTACAACTTTAGTTGGGCTAGCTGGATTAATTACCTGTAAAATTCCAAAACATAAAATGTGCATCTCTCCATAAGATGGACTGTTTTTCAGGATCAGGTTGATGTGAGAGGGAATCTTCTCACATTTTGTTACTGGCCAGAACCATTATATTAGGAGAATAAAAACACTCACACATGGACACTATTTGGCAAATGTCATAGCTCATTGTAGTGTCTTTTATCTTCGCTGGATAAGGTGCCTTGCATCTTTCCAGATTAGCTACTTAACACTTGCTAGGGTGAGAAACATTGCCCTCTCCCTGTGGGTCTGTAGGGGCTACATCCAGAGGCTATGCTTTAAGCCAGTGGTATTGGGCAATAACTGAAACATTCACACCTGTGTCTAAAAGCCCTTTAAATATTTTTTCTCCAATAGGTAATTCCATCTCAGGGTGATTTTGTTTGAACTGTTGAAACCAGTAGGTGTCAGGAGATCCAAAACCCTTGGATCCCTTTTTCTTATTTATAATGTTTATTAATTTTTGCCAAGGGAAGTGACTAATTGAGTGATACGAGAATCTGGGGTGGTTAATAAGGTTTTGAGTAGTTGAATTTTTTATATGGCCCAAATCAGTGACAACGGGCAAAACCTTGGTCTCTGCAGCCTCTGACTGCAGCTTTCATTTTTATGGCCTCAGGGATGGGCGAGCTGCTGGCTGGGCCG